TAACACTTAATGAGACACTTGTAGAGGGATAAGAAAATTGACCCACGATTTATTATTCATGCGTCGATAATAATAGACACGTTCGTAATTTTACAGTTCGCTCGATCGCGCGAAACTGGAAACACCTCCCACTCGGCCTAATTACCTTTGAACCTATATTACGTTTGTCTTGACGAGTGACAAGCTCCATTATACCTGTATAAATATTCCATTTAGGCTGATCAGAGGAGCTGTGCACAATTGTTTGGGGGGCAATGCGAAAATTATCGCCTTAACAATCGCAGCGTGAGCATCGGTAATTTCCCGCGATAGGCTTATCCGTCTAAAATCACGAGAGAAGGAGGGGAAGGAAACAGGAAATCGTATTAAACCGGTGTCCCTCTTTGACGAAAGTGCAGCCACGTTGCGATAGCCGGGGTGACAGCCGGTGTTTCGTGGATTCGAGAGCTTTTGTGCGACGCTCCCATTTATGGATTATCGTTACGATTACCGGATCTGTAACATCCGGTTTATCTGTCTGTCTGTGTCAGTTGCACGATACCTGGATCGCTCTAATAATCGTCGAACGAGGCCAACGCGTGAGAGAAACGCGACTTTGCCGTTGAGTCGCTCGCGAACTTTCTCGAGAATCGTATTCCTCGAATCGTGGAGGATTCAGAGAAGATGTTTAAATGTCAGTGAAAGAGCGCGTTAAGTGCAAGTTAAACGTCACCGATTCGATCAAGGATGTAGCGAACATTTCGAGGTTAAAAACCTTCGTTATTTCTCCGTCGTTGTAATTTGTAATTGTAATTGTAATTTTACATTTAAGCAGTCGCGAAATAATCAGAGGTCGAGTTCGTCGAAAGGATTTTGAAAAATCGAGAGATCCTTTTCGATTGTTCGGAGTGGAAAATTAACGCGATAACGGGCGCCACTTTCTTAATCCAACCCCAACGCGACACGCGCGCCTCTTTAAGCACTTGATCCACTAAATCCGAATTCGTGACTGTACATCGGCCTGTTGGAACTTCTGTTCAAAGATACTTCAGCCGAAAACGGGTCAGGGACTTGGTGCTTTAAACGCGAGTAGCACAATTAGAGCGTCCGAGAATTACCATTTACCTCTTTAATTACGGAATTAAAGCGGATGGAAGATTCTTTCCCCGTTCGAGATCCGAGACAAGTCTCCCGCTATCATTCCTCTTATTTAACTTTCGAGTCATGATCCCAAGAACAAAGGCAACGAAGCTAATGATTTTCCAAATCTTTCTTCCGATTGTTTCTAATCTTCGTCACGATTGCTCGCTCGAATCGTGAACCAAAGAACGAAGCGTGATCCGCGAACTAGAGAAGCTAATGATTTTCCAAATCTTTTCTCTGATTGTTTCGAGTGCTCGCTGATGGAGGGAAAGAATATCAAAGAGGATAAAGAATAAAGCAGACGAAGCGAGAGATGCTAATGATTTTCCAAATCTTTCCCCCGCAAAGCTGGGGAGCAAATTCTTGTTTCGCAAAGCTGATCTGCGTCACGATTGCTCGCTCGAATCGTGAGCCAAAGAACGAAGCGTGATCCGCGAACTAGAGAAGCTAATGATTTTCCAAATCTTTTCTCTGATTGTTTCGAGTGCTCGCTGATGGAGGGAAAGAATATCAAAGAGGATAAAGAATAAAGCAGACGAAGCGAGAGATGCTAATGATTTTCCAAATCTTTCCCCCGCAAAGCTGGGGAGCAAATTCTTGTTTCGCAAAGCTGATCTGCGTCACGATTGCTCGCTCGAATCGTGAGCCAAAGAACGAAGCGTGATCCGCGAACTAGAGAAGCTAATGATTTTCCAAATCTTTTCTCTGATTGTTTCGAGTGCTCGCTGATGGAGGGAAAGAATATCAAAGAGGATAAAGAATAAAGCAGACGAAGCGAGAGATGCTAATGATTTTCCAAATCTTTCCCCCGCAAAGCTGGGGAGCAAATTCTTGTTTCGCAAAGCTGATCTGCGTCACGATTGCTCGCTCGAATCGTGAGCCAAAGAACGAAGCGTGATCCGCGAACTAGAGAAGCTAATGATTTTCCAAATTTTTTCTCTGATTGTTTCGAGTGCTCGTTGATGGAGGGAAAGAATATCAGAGAGGATGAAGAACAAAGCGAATGAAGCTAGAGCTAATGGTTTTCGAAATCATTCTCTTGATTATTTCGCAAATATTCTCAAAGCTGATGCAGGGAAGGAATATCGAAGAGGATGGAGATTCTTTTTCTGTTCGAGATCCGAGACAAGTCTTCGCGTGTCTCTGGCTATCATTCCTCTTATTTAACTTCGTCACGATTGCTCGCTCGAATCGTGATCCGAAGAACGAAGCGTGATCCGCGAACTAAAGAAGCTAATGATTTTCCAAATCTTTTCTCTGATTGTTTCGTGATGCTGAATACTTCCCCTGAATGCTCGTAAAGCTAATGGAGGAAGAATATTGGAGAGGATGGAGATTCTTTCTTCGTTCGAGATCCAAGAGAAGTCTTCGCGTGTTTCCCGCTATCATTCCTCTTGTTTAACTTCATGATCCGAAGAACAAAGCGAACGAAGCTAGAGAAGCTAATGATTTTCGAAATCTTTCCTCTGATTGTTTCACCAATACTCACGAAGCTGATCTCGTCATTGCTCGTTCGAATCGTGATTCGAAGAACAAAGGAAATTAAAGAAACTAATGATTTTCGAAATTTTTGTTTGTTCCGATTTGTCCTGAATCTTTCTCCTGATTGTTTCACTGATGGATAAAAAGAATATCGGAGAGGATAAAGATTCTTTCTCCGTTCGAAATCCAAGAAATATCTTCTCACGTTTCCCGCTATCATTCCTTTTATTTAACTTTCATGATCCAAGAACAAAGAAAACGAAACTAATGATTTTCGAAATTTTTCTCCTGATTGATCGTTTCTCGAAAAGCAAGTGTTTTGCATCGCGCATCATTTTCCCGCAGGCGTGCGACCATCCACCCACGAGGCCAATTCCGCCCTTCGATTATTTGCCAAGCAGGAAAATATTTTGCAGCTCGGGAGTGCGATTGATCAAACCGCTTCAAAATCAAACGTTGCGAAATTTAACATTTATCCCCTGTTCGGCTATAAATCTCGGGCAATCGGAAAGGTTGAATAATACGGGGGTCACGATTCTCCATTATCACGCCGGAATCACTGGAATCGATGGTTTTTTAAAGTAGCTTTTAAAGAGCGCGTCATAGAATTCGGTCGATTGGTTCTCACCGATCAAATTTTTGCCTCGCAGAAATTTCCCCTCGACGCGAGATCGAGAATCTTTATCTTCGATTCTTTTTCTCTTTGATTTCTTCTTTTTTTTTATGGAATTGCTATTTAATACCATGTAATAATTCTGTTCTGCCAGAATTCTTCCAAAAAAGTATATTTCGAAGAGAAAAAGGGGTGGTTTTTCATCATCGGACGAGAAATCGGTGATTTTTCCCTGTCGTTCTTATCGCTTTTCTGACAATTAAAACGTTTCAGCGAATTATTCCTTTTACGAATTATTTCTTTCACGCGTAACTCGAATTTTTACGATCGAACAATTTTAAGTATCGATACCTGTCCGAATACAAAGTTTTCGACGAAGTTTCCTTCCACGAAATGGAAATCGAATTCTCGCTGGAAAATCGGCTTCCTCGCCGCATGTTCCCTCGCTCGTAAAAAGAGCATGTTTGTTCTCCATCGGTCGGCATCGGGATCCGCGCCCCTGGGGAACAGGAAAGGTCTCGCTGGCAGCTATCTGTTTCGTGCACTCGCGTCGCTTTCAGCCTTCGGATCACCTTACCGTATAACTCGGCCAAATAAAAATCTCCTTTAACGTATCTCCTACAATTTATTCCATCCCGTCATTTTATATTATATTATATTTATTATATTTCTTTTAACTTTTCAAAATTGAAGTTATAAATAATTTTTCCACAAAATTTTCGAAATTTACTTTTTTACGATCGAACCTGATTCTTTTATTCGTTTCACCATAAGAGAAATTTTTCGGCATCTTAATCCGATTAATTCCCCGCCAATCCTCCATCCATTCTCGATCCAAGCGAAAGGGACGCGTGTATCGTCCCTGTAAACAGGCCTGATTGCGCGAGAGGAAAAGAAGAGAGGAGTAACGAGGGATCAAACCGATATCGGAACGAGGACCACCCTTCTCTCGTATGCACGGACAAGTAAGAGTTCTCGATAGTGAATTATGCCACGATCGTGTCTCGAATCCGCGAATCACGAGCCCTCCTCCCGCATCACGGATTCCGTGGCCGTGTTCTTCGAGGTGGTCCGTGGTCGGACTGGAAACGCGCGAACAAAGCGCACGTCGCGGCTCGCGGCTTAATTCACTTTCAATTTCCTACTTGTTGCGTTAATTCGCCGCACGAGGCCTTCCCAGCCTGCCGTTTCACTGGCCAAGGTTAATGAGAATCTCGAAAGTAGAGAGATCGACGTATGCTTCGATAGAAGATGTTGATTGGGATTTAGAAGAAGTAGAAAAGATTACGTTTTCGTACGACGAAGAAAAGTACAACGAACGAATCTTTGGAATCTTCCACGTGGAAGTAAGTATAATTCGTTAATCCTTCGGCCAAGCTTTACATTTTTGCGTACGATGTTCGATTGTACGGTGGCTTAAGTTAACCGGTATCGCGGGAGAGGACAGAACGAATGGAAAGTTAATCGGGGCGGAAGTGGAAAGGAGCGATTTGCGTTGTTAAAAGGAGGAATTTATCGATAAAAGGGGTGGGGCGAAGAAATTCGTGGAACGGTTCACTTCGAGTCCGCGCAAATGAAGTGTGAGAAACTGGTATTGGAACGGCGCGTTTGCTCCGGCCAAGATGAAACACACCGGGAATATATCCCGGGAAGGGAGCACAAAGGGGGTTGAAATACGTCCGGACCGCAGTCTGGTATATACCGGTATAACTGCGATCCGAATGGATCCCGATGTACACACGTACGTAACATATCTAAACAACGATTTACGTTTTCGTTGCAGGAACCCGAACGTGATCGATCACCACGGTCGAAACGACACGCTTCTGCCCGCCAGCCGGGAGAAAAGCCGTTTTCGGAGCCTGACGTGGGATCAATACGATCCGGTGCACCAGAAATACTTGGAGATCGGTAAGTGGTCGAAAATGCAAAATGCATCGGTCGAAATTTCTTTTCATTTCACCCATCGTCCCCTCCCTTCCTTTCGCCCGTGTCCTAATTAAGCGGGTAATTTTCATTCACCTCGAGCGATGGGCCTCGAGTGCCGCCACTTCCGCTCTATGATTTCGTTTTCTCGAAAGCGAAGGGGGTAATAGTGGGCG